CTCGAGTTAATGTTCCTGTGATTTTCTTCTATAACTCCCAGAAGAAGCGGAGAGTTGTGGAATAGTGAACGTTGAAGTCCCATTGATTTTGCTTTGCTGTGCATAAGTATTGTTTGGTTAAATTTCCCTTGGAGATAATTTGGTAGTCCAACTCTAAATATAGAAAATGAACTTGCCATTTAATGGGATAAATGTTTAGATTAATTAATTACAATGAAAGGATATGTGGTAAGGTTTGGAGGGATCATGGGTTCAAAATCTGTGATGTCAATGCTTGAAATTTAGCAGTCTACCCGAGAAAGCTATTTGGAACTGTGAAAGTATATTCTTTGGTTGTTTGGATTATTTCGTTTGGTTGTCAAACATGTGCTATATGTGTGTGTTTCTGTCTATCTTGTTTAATTGCTAACCAGGGCTTATCCTTTCAGGTTGAAAAGGCTTTCAGAGAAGGAACAGCACGTCAAAATGCACACAGCATATTCGTTTGTCTTGCTTTGAAACTGCTGGAAGAACGAGTTCATGTAGCTTGCAAAGAAATCATTACATTAGAAAAACAGGTCTTAATTATTATGCTTTTATTAGGAACAGGCTTTAACAAACTGAACTCCTACATTTTGAGAATTTTAGTTCCAAAATCGTAAACATACGATATTCTTACAGATGAAACTTCTTGAAGAAGAAGAAAAGGAAAAACGTGAAGAAGAAGAACGGAAGGAGAGGAAAAGGACAAAAGAAAGGGAGAAAAAACTTCGGAGAAAGGAAAGACTTAAAGGAAAGGAGAAAGATACAGAAAGGAAGTGTTCTGAATCAATTGATGTTCCTGGATCTCCTGAACTCTCAAAGGACGAATTGTCTCCTGCTGCAGATGTAGAGGAAAATAATTCTATTATAGGCAGTAATTCAATCATTGTAACAGGAGATGATTATCCTAAAATCCAAGATGAAGACTTCACTCGAGAGGGTAGTAATTTGAGAGTACAAGACTACTCTTACGATGACTGTGAGGGAGACATTGCAAATGTGCAACACCACTCTTACGATGATTGTGATGGAGATATTGCAAATGCACAAGACAGGAATGATACTTCTACCGTTGAGCAATCAAAGTTTTATTGTCAAAGACTTAGATATAGGAAAGAATTTCGACTGGATCCGCCAACAAAGTGGTCTGACAGACGCCCTAATGCAGTTGTTTCAGAAAATGGTGTGGTGGGTGGAAGATCAGAGCCAGTACACTGTGAAGATAATTTTGGGATGCATTCCAGAGGAATCAATGGATTGAACAGGCAATCTAGAATAAGTGCTGCAAAATCCAATGGTCGAAATATTGGTCATAAGTGTAGTGAGAGGTTTTATAGTTCCAACAGCTGGGTGAACGACAGATATGATTTTCATTCATGCAGTTGTAATAGTAGAATGAATAGGGTTAGTTGGGAGACAAAACTTGTTAGTAAGTCTGAATCCACAGTAGATTCATCTAAGCAATTTTACCGTGGTAGCAAGTATAATCATGTAGACTTCATTTCCGAGAGTAATGGAAGAACCAAAAGCAGGGTCATCTCAGGTAACTATTCTAGTAGGGATTTGCCTTACTCAAAGAAAGTTTGGGAGCCTATGGAGTCCCACAAGAAGTATGCTCGTAGTAATTCAGACTCTAATGTTACATTGGGGTCCACAGGTCAAGTATTTCAGTTTGATATGGTAAGGTCATCTATCGATGATATTGGTGGTACAGGTGAAGTTGATTATGTGGATTGTAATTTGAAAAGAAGCGGAGTGGATGAAGGCTATCAGAATGATCTTGATGCTGAAGCTGGAGGATCTTGCAGTTCCACTGAAATTACGTCTGAGGAACCTGGAACATCTCTGATGGGTGGGTCATCCTTGAATAATTCTTCTGATCCCAATCATGGTAGCACTTCTAGTTCTGATAACTGTTCATCATGCCTAAGTGAGGGTGATAACAATACCACCTCTTCAAACCGTGAGGAGAATACAGAATCCTCAACATCTGATTCAGAAGATGCTAGCCAACAATCTGAAGTAAGAGAAAGATCAACCTGCATTGACAACGGATTGTCTGGTTCTCATGAAGCTGGAATGGAGAAAATTCATAATGCAAATGATGAGGGCTTGACCAGCATGTCAACATTTGGTTCATCCTTGGATGCAGCAAGAGGTGATGTATTGGGGAATCCTGTGGTTAGAATGGCCGCCCATAATTTTGATAATTGTTTTTCCCCTCTTAATGTGTGTTCTCAATCTCAAAGCATGCTCCCTCCAGTGCCAAACCAAAATATACAATTTCCAGTGTTTCAGACTCCTTCGGCAGTGGGCTATTACCATCACAATCCAGTTTCATGGCCAGCTGCTCCCACAAATGGGTTGGTGCCTATCCCGCACCCAAACCCCTACTTATATAGTAGCCCTTTTGGATATGGCTTAAACGAAGATCCGAGATTCTGCTTGCAATATGGTGGCTTACAGCAACCAACACCCTTATTTAACCCCGTTTCCGTTCCAGTTTATCAGCCAGTTGCCAGAGCTAAGCAAACATCCATGCTGCAAGAGCATCTTAATATATCTGCAGTGGGAAGGGTTTCTCTAAGCGGAGCTAATTCACAAAAAGCACCATTGAATGGGGAAGTTGGACATGGTAATTCTGCCAAGTCACAAGACACTGGTTTCTCCTTGTTTCATTTTGGTGGCCCTGCAGACCTTTCAACATGTCATAAATTGCGTAATGCATCTTCAAATGACGGCGACAATGTAGGAGATTTCAACAAAAAGAGTTTTGTAGATCAAGTTCAGAATGAAAACGAGACGAGTGTGATGGAGGAGTACAACTTGTTTGCGGGAAGTAAATCCTTGAGGTTTTCAATTTTCTAAAAGGAAATTGAAGTACAAGGTGGCTGTTGAGGAATTCAGTCTCTACCTTCATGTGATAATGGAGGTTTGAGTACTCTGTGATTCACTAAACAATAAGCTTCCTTCAACAACTTGTTTTAGCCCATAGTTTTATTAGTCGATTGTTACCAAATTTGTGCTTTTCTTTGATGTAGAGAAAGATTGCGAGTGCTGATTTCTTGAAGGGTTTTTTCGCCCTTGCTTGAGATCACAATTCCCCTTTCCCCAAATACCTTTCAACCAAACCTGCTTCATAATGGAAGCTGTAATGGGAATTTTGAGTGGACATCATCAATGTTGATTCGACTTTCGTTAAATGCTCTTTCTCTATCATCTTTCCTTTCATATTTAAATCCTTTTCTTTTACATCTCCTCTTTTAACCATCTATTGGACGGATTATCTTTTATTACTAATTTTTTTAAATTCAACAAATTATTTTTCATCAACCCCCAAAAAATTATCCTACACTATATATCTCATTGTAAATGGCTATAAAATCGACCTTTTTTTTCATCTATAAGCTATTTCACTTGAACATATCCAGCCTTTTTACTCTTTACACTCTTTTACATTTTATTTTTTTTATAGTTTAGTAAAGGAAGAGAGTCAAAAAATTGTGATCCTGTAAGAAAATGTTAATAATGCACTCTTCTATTAATCAAATTGTACTAAAAATCCCATTTTCTTTTCATAAACCTAACTTTATATTTAGTTATTGTCTCTATGATTTTATAGTTCATAAGATAATTTTAATTAATAATAGTATATACTTATATGTATATGTATAATATACGTATACACAGTAGAAATAAAATAAAATAAATAAAATTAAATTTATTATTGATTAAAAAGCTTCTAATATATAATAGAATTTAAAATTTATATATATATATATATATATATATATATATATATTTCAAAATTAAACTATTTCAACTATAAAATAAAAGTGACGCTTTCATATAATAAAGAAAATCATATTACGAATTTAACATAAATTCTAATATCGATAAAATTCATTATCACAACAATTTCAAGACTATATAATCTAATTATAAAGTGTTCATGTATTTGTTGATAAATCTTTCTAAACTCGAGTTACTACAAACTGAACTAACAAAACTACATCTCATATTTTAATATTATTTTTCTTCATCAAAATTAAAAGTGTTGGTTAGTGTAAGGTTTGTATATAGTAGATTTTAGGTTTAATGTCTCAATAGGTCCCTATTTTTGTTCAGAATTTGAAATAGGTCCCTTTATTTTTTGGCGTCTCAATTGGGTCCTTATTTTTGTTAATTTGATGCAAATAAATCCTTTCCGTCAATTTCATCAAACGGCGTTAATGAATGTGTGACGTGGCCTTACACGTGTCAATACTGTCCTCAGGCCACGTCACACATTCATTAACGCCGTTTGATGAAATTGACGGAAAGGATTTATTTGCATCAAATTAACAAAAATAAGGACCCAATTGAGACGCCAAAAAATAAAGGGACCTATTTCAAATTCTGAACAAAAATAGGGACCTATTGAGACATTAAACCTAGATTTTTATGCTTAACTCACTCTTTGTAACAGTGAAGTTTATACTTATTTATATATTTTACATTGATATTATCTCTAGTTGATATGAGACTTCCAACACAGTCTCTCATGTTAAGGTATATACTATTAAAATTCTCACATTACACATATACTCTAATGTTTTCCGTAAAATTGAGTCTAATTCTTGTTCAGTATTGATGGCTTTTAATAGCCACATAAATGCCAAATAATAATAACTAGTAGAGTAAAAAATTATCTATTGATGGCTTTTAATAGCCACATAAATGCCAAATAATAATAACTAGTAGAATAAAAAATTATCTATTCAAACGGATTCTATAAATAGAATAATAACTGCACCTAACAAATATCATAGTTGGCCAAATATATCAATAAAAAATATAGCTATCTACTTAAACAAAAATACACAACATTAAAGTTCTCTCAAAATTACAAATAAGCTCATTTCATAATTTAAGTTTATTTAATAAAATTATCCCATAAACTTAAAATTTTTCTTCCTTTATTCGACTTTCCATGTGCGTCACTCTGCACCGGACTTGCTTCTTTCAATCAAATTCAAGTTGGAGTTATCCGAATTCTTGATAGTCATACATTGCTTCAAGCACCTTTTCTGCAAGATCTTCAGTTCTAGTTCATACAACTGGTTCTTCTTCGCTTTTACCTGGGTTGCTAAACGACCATGCTTATCCTTTAAATACAATACATGGTCCTTCATAAAAACTGAATTACTTTTTTCAATTATCTGAATCATGCTTAAAATATTGCTCTTCAGTTCGGGAACATAATAAACATCCCTAATCTCTTCAACTCTTCCATCCTTTTGCATATGCCAGATTATTCCACGTCCTTTCATGGCCACCTTGGAGTCATTCTCAAAACATACAAATTTGGCCTCCACCTTGGTGAGTTTATAAAAAAAGTTCTCGTTTCCACACATATGATTACTTGCCACAATATCTAGATACCATACCAAGTTGGTAGAAATCTCATCAGCCTCTGATCTCAAACACGATCCAACATCTGAGTTCTCCACCTTCGACTCTAAGATCCTTGATGACAACAAAATTCTCATCTCTTCTTCATCTTCTTCTTCCCTATTTTTATCTGGTTCAAGAACACTAGAGGCTTCTTCCTCCTTATCAATTATTGTCTTCTTCAGCTCCTCAAGTTCAACCCTCTGTTTATCATAATCTCATTATCCTCATCTAGAAGTTTCCCTATCCGCTGAATCTCTTCTTTTTGTCTGAGTTTCTTCTTCAGGTTTGCCTTCTCCATATTTATCGCGTCATTTACCAAGATCACTTCATCCATTGTTGGGACCAAGCTCTCCATGTCCATACCCTTTTCATCTGAGTTCTTTGCTATCAACAAGATTCCTCACTCTTCTTCTGCATCTTCAGTAAGGAGATTAGTCTCCCCCTTTGTCTCAGCCTTGCAATACTTTGTAATGTGGCCAGCCTTACCATAGTTGTAGCACTTCCTCGATCTGCACTCATTTGCGTAGTGACCGTACTTGTCACACTTAAAACACTCCACTCTTGACCGGTTTCCTCGACCTCTCCCTTGTTCTCAATCACGTCAATTATGCTGATCGATTTGCTCTTCACTACATTCTCAAAATTACCTTGACCACGTCCACCTCATCCTCAGCCTCCTCGTCCTCTACCGCTAGGACCTTGGCTCTGAGTAATTCGAGTTTCATTCGAGTCAAACTATGCCTGTAGTGCTTGATCTAGAGGTTCAATCTGATAATCTCAACTTCTTCTCCTTTGTTCGTGGGTTTCTAATGACCCAACAAGTTCATCTATTGTGAGAACTGACAAGTCCTTTGATTTTTCAGTGGCGCACACGATGCTTTCAAAAATCTTTTATGATTGGTCTTAATATTTTTCCCACAACCTGGCTAGGTGGCATTTTTTCTCATTTGAGTTGGTTGACCACCTTCTCCACCCGAGTTATGTACTCAGTTATATGCTCTTTGGACCCCATATTTAATTGTTAAAACTCTCCTCTGAGAGTTTGTATTCGGACTTGTCTGATGCGATTGTCACTTTTATATGCAACCTCCAATATCTCCCAAGCTTCCTTTGTTGATGCGACATTCGCTATTTTTTTGAATCTCAACTCATCTACTGCAATGTAGAGAAAAGACTATGTTGACTTATATCTTGCACATGTTTTCTTCAACGCGGTTATTTGTGCCACTGTCTAATGTTTGTCCTTATGAGGTTCAATGTACCCGTCTTCCATCATATCTAAAATGTCTTGGGATCAGAATAACATCTTCATCTATAGGCACCAGTTATCATAATTGATTTTTCTCATCATTTGTGACACACCCATACCATTGACAACCTTTGTCACCTTTCTCACAAAAAACTCAAGCACTCACTATTTTTCTCACGGTGTTTGACTCTCTCCTCTCTTTCTTTCTTTTTTGTCTCTCGGTACTCAAAGCATAAAGCTTTGATACCACTTTGTTAAAATTCTCACGTCACACACACTTTAATATTTTTCGTAAAATTGAGTCTGATTTTTATTCAGTATTGATGACTTTTAATAGCCACATAAATGCCAAATAATAATAACTAGAAGCAAAATAAATAAAAACTTATCTATTAAGCCGAATTCTATAAGTAAAATAATAACTAAGCCTTACAAATATCACAGTTGGCCAAATATATCAATAAAAAATATAACTATCTACTTAACCAAAACGACACTTCATTAAAGTTCTCTCAAAATTACAAATAAGCCCCTTTCATAATTTAAGTTTATTTAACATATACATATCGAACGTGATACCAAATATTAACAGGTGGTTTGATAACAGTTCAATATCCGATAGAATAATAGATCCAACAAACAATCAACTTCATTAGGATAGGATTTAAGTCATAACTCTAATATCATGTTAAGAAGTGAATTTTAAACTTAATTTTATCCCACAAAACTAGTTTGTAAGGTTAGGTTTACACTCACTTATATATTATATTATAAATTGATTTTGCTTTTAGTCGAAGTAAAACTTCTTACTACTTATAATGAAAACTCACTAAATTTCCTCGTGGATTGATTGTTAAACATATGTGCAACAACAAAATCCAGAAAGAAATTATTTCATTTCAAGTATAAATAAGAGGCATAAAAGAGTTGTATGGTAAAAAACCTTAATTTCTAAAAGTTTACAATGCATAGTTTAGCACCAATAAAAAATAGCTCAAGATAGATAATTATATAGCTAAAACAATAAAGGAACCTAATTATGAGTATAAGCTTTTAAAAATAAGAAAGTTGAATACTACATGATGATAAAAAAAATTATTTTCTTAAAATTTTAGTTTGAAGATAGTATCAATTTTTTAATGTGGAATACATTTATGTGACCGTAAATTTCTACATTAAATAAAAATATGGAGACCTATAAATCTATTTTTTTTATTATGTAGAGTTGTTAGTTACTCTTGTTAGTTTTCTTAATTATATATTATGTTATGTTTATAATAGATTGAGGGGCTACTATATTTTACATCTTCTTTGGATAATTATGTTTGTTTTAGCAATTTAGAAGATGAAAACAATTGAATAGCTATTAAAGCCATCGATTGTTAAATTGAATAGCAATGTTATTCTTCACAAAGTCTTGTTTATACCATACTTTAAAGTCAATCTTATCTGTGTAATAAGTTTACTGAAAACAATATTTTTTTATCATTCTTCTTTTGCCATACAAGATCCAACCGAAGGTGATTGGTAACATCCAATAAATTTTGTACTGCTTTCTGCTTTCGTGCGTTCTTCTCATAATATTGTTACCAAAATTCATAATCATACATATACTCTTGTAAATAAATGGCACTATATTCTTAGATTGATAGCATCCTCATTAATATCTTATATTAATCAAAGTATGAAGTTTAATTTCTTATTTGAACATAAAATTGTTACTAAAACTATAATTTTACTCTCAAATGAGTAAGGAGTGTCGCTTTAAAAAATGTGTGTCAATCTTAAAATAAGATATTTTATTATAACGGTATTATATTATAGAATCATAAGAAAAGCCTGAAAGAAAACTAGTTTGACAAGAACAAGATATTAGGATAAAAGTATCCCAACCCTTAATCAAGTAAATTTAATTTAATTTAAGCTTAAAAAATGAAGATCAAACTAATAATACATGTTGAAATTCAATTCATTGACATGTAACATCATCTAAAACTTTTAATTCCTTAGCTATTGCTAATTATAGGCTATATATATTAGTAATTACTATATATCTATGTGGGTAAATAAAGATGTAATTCTTCTTTAGTATTAGGAAAACTTTTTTTCTTTTTTTAACAAACTCCTCTTGCTTTTTCTTTTTTAATCACATATCAAGATAAATACTTTATCATTATTTCATTATACAAAAAATTAACAATAACAATCCATTTTTCTAAACATTCTCATACTAATTTTAAATAATATTATAGCACCTTACTAACATCAATAATTATAATTAAATTGAGTTTCATTACAGTTTTTAAATTAGAGAACATTTTATTTCAAAATATGATCAACATAATACANGTACATGTTGAAATTCAATTCATTGACATGTAACATCATCTAAAACTTTTAATTCCTTAGCTATTGCTAATTATAGGCTATATATATTAGTAATTACTATATATCTATGTGGGTAAATAAAGATGTAATTCTTCTTTAGTATTAGGAAAACTTTTTTTCTTTTTTTAACAAACTCCTCTTGCTTTTTCTTTTTTAATCACATATCAAGATAAATACTTTATCATTATTTCATTATACAAAAAATTAACAATAACAATCCATTTTTCTAAACATTCTCATACTAATTTTAAATAATATTATAGCACCTTACTAACATCAATAATTATAATTAAATTGAGTTTCATTACAGTTTTTAAATTAGAGAACATTTTATTTCAAAATATGATCAACATAATACAAAATATGAACTAAAAATTAAATACAATTTTTCAAAAGGCTGAAAGATACCATAAAACATATTATACTACTCTTTTAGTCGCGAGTTCCACTTTTAGTGGTCTTATAGTCATCCGCTCCTATCTTTCTTCTCGTACATTATATAATATATAATAATCATAGGAAAAAAAATAAAAAAAAAGACACACTAATGTAAAGATAAACTAATTTTTATAAGAATAAATCATAATCTAAATATATTAAATGATTTACAAAAATTATATAAATAAGCATTTGAGATATATAAACTATTAAACAATAAGAAACCAAAGATAAAATATATAATTATCATAATTCATTTAAACTTTGAAAATTAGTTTATTAAATGGATTCCTAAGATTCTGCACTTATCTGACTCTTATCTCCTCTGGTCTTTAATAATAACTCATGTAAAATAATTATATACTTTATTTAGTATTCGGAGATTAATTTCACTAACTCTATAAGTATATAATCTTCTTTTATAATTATACTGTTTGTGAAGTCTCTTTCAACTCTTTTAATTCTTACACCTAATTATAATTTCCCATATGAATTAGATACTAATAAAGTGAATATAGTATCCCATCCGGAATTTCTTTTGATTACACTTTGACATTAAATAGTAGTATTCTCCTTTAAGAATAACTAGTGTGACTCAAACTGCACCTAAAAATATAAATGAAGCTTCACCAAATCTATAACTCCTAACACTCAAAAGTACAAGCCACTCAATAGAAAAATTCTAGAAAATTGAAGTTGTTTCTTTCTTCTAAAATATCATCATATTAAATAATTTTGTCCGCTTTCAACTAAGTTTTTACGGATTTGTTTTTTATATCACTCTAGAAAGCCTCTTACTAATGATCAAAATATCATATATATATATATATATATATATATATATATAAACTTATCTTCATATCTTATTTTATTTAATAGAAAACTTTGTTTGTATTCAACATATTATGAGTTTTCTTCTTTGGAATTCTTCTGAAAGCTCAAATGGAAAATGAGCAATAAAATATCTATATATAATCCTTTTTTCACATTTAAATTCATTCAACTTATAACTATCCATTTATTAAGTAATTGTGTTGATAATTAAAGTATGACTTTTTAATGGAAATAGAACGAGAAGCCCATTTACTTTATTCTCACAAAAACCCATTCTACTAATTATTCACCATAAACACACCATGAAACATTTGTCACCTTGATAATAAAATGGTCACAATTTTGAGTTTAGATTTTCTGTTAAATTCTTCGTATTGTTCTCATCAAAAATAAATTTCAAAATTTTAAATATAATTTGTGAAAGGGTATAAAATTTTTAAATCTTGAATACTTGGCAATGTTACCACGGGTAGCCTAATGTTGAAAACTTTTGAGCTTGAAACAGTATTTTTAGTTATTTAAGCTTCTATTTAAAGGTGTGATGTATCATAAAATTAACTTGAATAAGACAATGACATATTGGAAGGTAAATATCCCTCTTTATTACTTCTTTTTTTCTCAAAGTTCCTGAGAAAGTTTAGTCTACACTTAATGATTTTTAGATATGATTTGAATGTAATTCTTTTAAAGTGGCACAAGAGGATTTTGGAACAACATCTACCAAAGTTTAAGACTGAAGTATGGTACATGTGATGATGTTACGTTTTTTAATCATTTTATGTGATGCTTTCAGTGGGTTTCCTTGATTTTTCCTTTCTGGGAATTTGTTGATTTCAAATTTGAAGGTTTTAAGCTTGGAAAGTGAAAACTCTGGAAGGTTCTATCATGAATGCCAGAAACAAAGTCAAACCTATAAGTGTGTAAGTGTGTCCTGGTCTTACTTATGCAATTTTTCTTTTCTTTTTTTAATTAAGCATGATAGAGTAAATTATCAACAATTGCTTTTGTAACATCTTAGGCATCCCAAAAATATATAGTATAAACTATATAATTTAGAGTCATCATATGCATGATAAGATAGTACAGTTATCTGACTAAAATATAAAATATTATCTATACAGTTATCCAGATTAACTATAGAATTTAAAACTTTATATACAACCAATCTATTTCAAAACTATCTACAGTACTACACTACAACGAACTGAACGACTGGATTCTCTTCATCAAGCGCCTGCTCCATGGAGATCTCATCTCCCTCTGCTCACACCCACAGGATAATTAATGCAAAGGAGAAACACCACACATACAACACAAACACAAAATAGAAGGGTAAGCTAGATATAAAAACATTCATGTAATTATAGAACATAGATTATGCACATGCTAACTCAGGCAAGATAAATTAGTTTAGACATTCTAATATGTTAAGACCTATAACAGACCGTCCGGACTGAGAATGAATACCGAGCTATGGCAGGTTTTACACTTGTGGTGGCCTCTACTGCTTTGCAAAGCCATTGCCATGGGTTTCACCCTACCACACACACAAGATTAGTCTGTTCCGTGCAATAGACCTCCAAGTAACGTCTACACTAGGACCTCCTACTACTCTCGCCACATGAATCAATCATCTCCATGTAAGAACGAAAGTTCATTAGAGTGTTAGGATAACCCCCAATACTGAGCTTCTTGTATTCATTCTCAAACACACTTACATCTCACCGAGAGATTCCACTTTGAAACTCACTTTTACCACATTGAAATCATACTTTCATTCACTTTGAATTTCCATTTTATACCTTTTATACTCATATAATTCAATACACCTTCATACATAGCATTCAATGATTTACCATCATTCAAACCACTCATGAACCGATAAGAAAAGAGTAAACTAGACTTGAACAATTCGCTCAACGCACCTTCTCGCATAACGAGTCCAGAGGTTTCTCGCACAGCAACTCAACTCACTATGCGAACCCTCAAATAGAGACCCACCCCTCATAACCCTTCGCACAGCGATTTAATTCACTGTGCGAATAAACCCTTTTATTGCATCAGACCCTAACCACTCGCATAGCGCCCCAATCGCTATGCGAGAGTCTCCAAACAGTGGCTCAGACTTCCCAAACTATCGTTGTGCGCCCATTTTCGCTATTCGAATAAATGGTAATAGTTTCAGACCCCAACCAGTCACATAGCGCCCCAATTCGCCATGCAGATCACCAAACAGAGAGAAACCCTCTCAACCCATTCGCACAGCGTGCCCATTCGTTGTGTGAATGCCCTGGCAGAGAGCATCTCGCTAGGGTGACTCGCTATGCGAATGGATTCGCATAACGAGTCTGCATAATCTGTAGAACGAAATTCTGCAGAATTAAGCAACTCAACCACCAATTACCAATTCTAACTATTTTTCCCAACTTCTAACATTCCCAACTTCTAACACTCCCAAATTGTTTTATATACTTGATTATACTTGTCTAAGTGATTCTAAATATTCCTAACATCAATTTAAAGTGTTTATGGATCAATTTCTACTCTAAAACATCAAATTCATCAGCTTATGGACAAAAATCAAATCTACCACTTTGAACCTGTTTTTGATCATTTTGATGACTCTAACAAGTCACAATGGACTTCCCCAAGCTGTCCCAACAGTCTAATTGAGTCCATAACTCCTAACTCTCCAATTCACTACTCTACTTCCTCTAAAAAGACTCAAAACATGCATAATTCACTATACTTTTAATTTAGTTAATAATACAACAGATTTCTCACATCAAGTACCTCCAATATGTTCAATCACAACAATTAAATTCCTCCAAATCAGTTCATAAGCATCACAATACAGTTTCACAGATTAAACATTCCAGCACATACAATTTAATCTAATCAAAACATAAACAGTGATCCAAACCACATACCAATTCAGAATTTATCATACATACATATCATACAACCAATTTAAAGAAAGTATCTAGCTCCCCTTACCTTAGAGATAAACTGCTCAGCTCACAGAAACACTCCAACAGTACCATGCACTGCAAGGGAACTCAAAGAAACCTACAAATCACCAATTAGTGATAGAAAACAGCTCTTAGAACCTAAGTCGAGCTGAGAATTGAAGGATAAAACTACAAGACACATGCAACCAGCAGAAATTGCATGATCCAGGTTTAAGAACATGCAGAGAAAGAGGGAAAACGACTTACTAACTAAAATCAAGAAACTGATCGGTTAGTTATGTAGCCCTTTATGTCGTGGACGTCTGGGTACCTCCTGATCATCAATCAAACAACTCGGTAGAGAGAAATCCTAGAGAGAAGCAAGAGAAAGAGTAGAGAATAGTGTTTTAAAGAGATGAAGTGTTTTAGATAATGAATCGAGCTTTAGAAAATTCTATCTATTCTATAAGATTATTTTTTTAAAAGTAAAAAGCTCTGTCTCATTATTTTAATACACATATCTACTCTATTACTCTATTTTCTAGGTTCTTACATTCACAACATAGAAATTATATTATATTTTCTTAATTGCACATTAATTATTTATTTATTCATAAACCGAATATATTCAATTAAATATAAATAAAACATAATATAGGTCTAATTATAACTCACTTTATTCTTAAGAATAACTTGGCATTGTGTACTTTAAAAAACATTTCTTCTTTTATCGAAATATATTATAGTATAATCATAATATAACAAAATACAAGGATAAACCAAAATTCAATTAAATATATAATAATTAATATTAATATAAACTTAATGACATAATTAATATTAAAAGTCACAGATTTCGTCCATACAAAATATATAATGGCTAATTGTTTTTGTAAGACTAATATTAAGTTTAAACATAGAGACTAACTTGTAATAAAATGAAAATGTGTTTCTTCCATATGTCATTAAGTTGCATAATGGAAATGAGTGACATAATAATGGCATTGATGAATGTTTATGCAAATTTAATAACCTAATTTCCAAAATCACCTTGAAATCCTACACCTCCTCACCCTCTGGCCCATCTCATTTAATGGCAGTCTGTCTAAGTGCTTCCCTAAAGATGAGACAAGTAAAAGTAGGCATTTGAGAAACTAACTACTTATGTTGCATAGTCATTTGTTTATGTCTGCAGATGGATAGTTGATTTCAACTCCTTATTTCAATTATTCCAATTTGTTTATCGCAAAAGGCTGAAATGACAAGTTATGCTTCAATAACATAATTTCAAGTACAAGGTATTGCAAACACTTTATGATGGTTTTGTTGATCATGATTGCCAAATTCCAATTTTATATGAGCAAAAGATATGACAAGTTAAAAGTAGTTTAGAAGAGAGAAGCTACACAACGCAACAAAAGAGTGAATCCACCAAGTAAAATTGATTATAAGTTCAATAATCTATGTCGTATCACTACCGTCAACCGTTTCTGTTATGCAACTCAACGGGGTCATGGTCACTTAGCCAAAAAAAACACCACATTAATACTAATAAGTTCTAGAAAACTAGCATAGACATGGTCAATTAACGAAAAAACACCACATCAATAGTAGTGGAACAAATTAGTATTATACTAAATTCATATGAAAAACAGCATAGCCAGTAATCACGCTATGAAAATTTGAGCATGCAACTATCACTTATTTCTACTTTGTTCCCTTTTTTTTATTTTTAAATTAAGCTTAAAATGTTATTTGTTTAAATCTCTAAGTATATCTTTTAGACTAGATTTAAGGATCTTGAACGTCTTAGCTAGTGATGCCATGTGATCAAGGATAGTTCTCTTTCTCTGACAAATCTTCTTATGTGTGCTATGATCATTTTTAAGACATTAATATACGATATTCCCCTCAATAATGGCCACGAAAACCCTAATCAACATCTTCCAAAACATGACATTAATCATTGATAGAAAAATAATTCTGACAATATCAATTACAGAATATTCTCTATCAATATTGATTGAAAACTCAAATTTGCTTAAACTTAAAAAAAAAATCAGTAACATCAATAAAAGATTCATAACATTGACTAAAATATAGTTTATCATCGTTTTAAAAATTTTAAATTATTAAAAGTATTTTTTTTATCAAAACACACGCTACAATGTGCAAAAAAGAAATTATGGAGGTGAAAGTAAAACAATTGATTTTGTTTTAAGAATGGCTTTTAAGGGGGAAAATCACTAAGATAGCTAGGTGGGAAGCAATCATCATTCGTATACACAAACTGGGTTGGAAACCCCTTTTCATGGACGAATGCCAAAAACCAGACTTTCCTGATCCCAATCATTGCACACCCCTCTCTCTCTCTCTCTCTCTCTCTCTCTCTCTCTCTCTCTCCAATCCTCTCCAATTGTCGTAATGGATAGTAACTCAAACTCACTAACACAGGATCATATGAAATGTCAAACATCGGTTTCAGCTCCCTGTGACTTTTTTAGCTTAGCTACAAGAACCCACATGTTGGCAAGTTCATTTTCCAGGTATGCTTCTCTTTGCTTTGATTCTTCAATCGTCCTTTGAAGCTCGGCTTCTTTGTGATCCCTGTCTAAAAGAGCAGCTTCGTATGAAAGTTCCCTTTCTTTACTCAAGGCCAGTTCTCTCTTTATATCAGAGTTTAATCCACCCTGATCATTTCTTCTAACATGACTTTCTCTTTTTCCACTTCGGACTGTTCCAGTTCCACTATTTCTACGTTGGCCAGGAGAGTTCTTCAATACAGCCTGCTCAGCCAATAATCTCTCATTCTGGTTCATTAGTTTCGCAACTTCTTCTGACAACGCCTTAAGCTCAACGGCAGCAGCAGAAGCTAGGTCTTTAGCATATGAACTCTCTTCTGCCAGTTTATGATTCCGAAGTTCTAGCTGTTCTTTTGATTCTCCTAGTTCCGCCAACTTCTGCTTTAGCTCTTCTATCTCGCTTGCCTAACCAATTGTACAGTTAAATGGAAATAATAGCTCGAATACATGACAAATACTAAATGTAAATGTTAGTTGACGATGGTAATATAAAAAGAACTGCACCACTAGAACGGATGGCAAGTACTGGCGATTTTCAGATAGAAGACGCTTCCTATCTGCCTAATTGTATTTTCTTCCCCTTGACTGTAAGGAAGTTCGAAGTGAAAATTTTAAATCAAGTCACGAGTTTAGTTTTCTATTTGATGTTAAAATTCCTTTGGTATCAGATGACTCGCAAACAAGGAAGTAGTTTCAGAAGTATAGCGGTTCAATGATGACTAAAACTGTGGGATTAATTTCATTACCAAAAATGGAGAGAAGAAAGAAAACTGATATGGTATATAGTAACAAACACGCATATTTTGCGTGGAAGGTTTTAGAAAACCTAAACAAGATTGGGTGCTGACTACATGGTCAATATTTCCATTCAAAAACACATTTATGCTAGTTTTAAGATGTTTATGGAATGACAAATGGTTTTGGATTAATGTGAAATTATAGTGCTAATTATCACACTCACGGAGTGGAATGTGACACTAAGAAATCTAATGGGATTAGCCTGTCCAAACTATAATAGCACCACTCAATGTAGATTCCACAATGAAGAAAAAATATACCTGCCGTTGCAAAAGAATTTTTTCGTTAGAATTGTTTATCGTGGCAGTTTCCTTTTCAAGGTAAGGTTCATCATGGTAGCCTTTGGTTACAGAGCAATGTTGAGATTGATTGGATATAGGCCTTAAGTTTCTCAACTCCAGTGCATCTGCAAGCTGCTGTTTCAGAGAGCCAACTGTTTCTTCAAGGCTTTCGCATTCACGGATCTGAGAATGTCAAATTTTTTGCTTAGCTAATAACACAAAAACAAGACGGCAAGAAATTTCGTACAAAATTATTTAAGCATTTTCACCTTCTGATTAAGCTGTTCTTGGATTATATGGTTATCTGCTGTTTTGACCTGAATTAGCAAAAAGGTTAGGTGACGCAAGACTAATTAGAAAACAATGTATGTTTATCGTGGAAGCTACACTGCATATGCTAATAATATAATCAGAGCAACGCCTTCTTGGGTGATCAGACCATGGATTTTACAAAAACAATTATTATAACTAATAACTTAATTATACGTACTTTTTGTTCTGATCTGAACAACACTAACTCTGGTTACAAACCAAAAACTGATTTAAATTTAAACTATCAAAAAGCTCCACAAGAAGACATATTGAGTGTTGAATACTTGAATTTCAATTAAAGACTAAACATAGCAAGATTTATATATGGTCACCTCCAGTTCAAAGGATTTTTCGTTTAATTGTGTCATTAGCTCGGTGAGATTCTGCAGGACAAAACAACCAGCATTGAATTAAAGTAACAAGTGAAACAAAACCAACATTGATGTCACATGAACACACTGGCAATACCCCTGATTCATCCAACTTATCTGAGGCAATGATAGAATCAGCAATTTGCTTTTGCAGAAAATTTATTTGTTCCTTCTTAGCCCTAATTTCATCTTTTAACCTTTCCATCTCCACCTTGGTATAAATTAAGCACAAAAAGATCAACTCTCAGATATACTGCCATATTAGTGAAAGTTATAATACTAGTCAAGACAAACATTGATTTTGAAATAGTAACGTACATGAATCTGATCCATTTGAGGGTTTCTTGCAGCTTCCTGAGACAATCTCTTCAAAGTACTTGAATGAAGAGCTACTTCTTCTGACAGAATCTTTTGTTGCTCCCTCAATAGATCAATCTCATCAATTGATTTAACGCTTATCTACAAATTAGAAGAAAAAAACTATAATCTAGCAAGGAAAAAGTATATATGGCCATAGCATACAAAAACTGATCACATCTATGGCAAGAACTTCAATAACTTAAATGTACATATCCATATTTCATCAATTTGGATTACGACAAAAAGGGGATAGGTTCCCACAAATAAAGTACTTTTAAGAAAGATTCATCAAACGGGACTTAACAAATGACTACTATACTACTCTTTTAGCTAGCTAAGTCTAGCACTTGCTCAGATATGCAAAAGGATCAATAGATAAAAATCATTACAATACTAGAATCTGGCCAAAACCAAATAAACAATGTTTGACAATACTCATCACTCAGGAATAAAAAATAAAAATTTACTAAAATTTTTTTTTTCCTAGTATACAAATAACATTTTATCACAAATTTTAACTGAGTAAAAAGTTGGATACTAAAAATATGTGATTCTGCATCTATATGTGCCTGTGCGCAATGCTACCAAAACTGAGATATGTTTAGGTGATTTTTCAGAGTATTGAAATGACTTACAAATTGCTTAATGGGTTTTCGCAAAACAAAGCGAATGTGAGATTTTTCAACTGCCAGCTCTGTTAGCATTAATTTATTTAGATTATACGAAAATCTTTCATCAATTATTTCACTAAAATAATCAAATTCAAATGACATAGGAAATAGCATTTTTCTCAAGCTGCAGAAAGAAACAATAAAAGCAGTCAAGAACATACCAAAGGTGTCTCTTGTCCCAATACTCTATCCTCGTGAATTTCTTTGTCCTCTCTTGTTGATGATACAAAATCTGCCGGAGAGCTTTGTGCAGGTAGAGAATGGGAATGTCTGGACTCTGCAAGAGGAGTAGAAGGTGTGCTAACAGATTTTGTTCCACATGATTTATCACTGGTGCCTGAAAAGGCACTTAACCCAGTATCTCGTTTCTGAATAAAAGAAAAAATAGTGAAATGCAGGAACTTGAAGAAACAGGACTTTAACATATACGAATACAACAAAATAAATCCATTATACCACTTTGAGAAATATCAATTGTACAAAGAACTTCCAAATGCAACGAAGAAATGTTATATAGCTAAATCATGATTAAAATATTTGCTAGAAAGTTAAACTCAGGTTACAAATGCATGGCTGCACAGAAGGCTTATAATCTTGCATGATTATATGCAGCCAACAAAGTTCATGAATGATGATTAAAATTCTCAATTGTGAAGTATAACCAACAAAATGAACTTCAAAATAATTCCTGATCAAGAAAAAAGTGCTTCCAAAAATTAGAATGAGAAATAATAAACATGAATCAGAGGCAAAAATGACAAACTTGAGAAGACCCAATCACGATTTCACAACTAAGGGGAAACCAAAATAAAAATCAATAGGAAAGTATTATTAACTAAAGTAAAGAAATAATAAATCTAACTGAATCTGATTTAAACTGTTAGATATAATGTACTTAGAATTCTTAATATTTCTATGATATCCTCATACAAACCCTAAATAAATATTTAGTTAATAAATATTTGTTACAATTTTACAAACTCTACTCTAACGCATTCACAATTAACAATTATATTTCCCAAATTTTTTCAAAACAAAAACCAAGCATCTTAAAAATAAATTATAAAAATAACACATTAAAAACTCATGCCAGCATTGCACAATTTTAGGCAAACATATGAACCAGTGAAGTCATGTGATGATCTCAGGACTTCAGTACAAAATTAAAAACACCAAAGTCATATCATCTATGAACGACTTTAACTAAATGAAAAATACACTAAAGTCGTCAATACCCTCCAGACTTCAATATTACTCAAGTTTTGAAGAATTCACCTCATGCCTCCATGACTTTAGGTCAAACAACGATGCATAGAAGTTTTTCACATCTTGCACAACTTTACTTAAGCATAATTAATTATAGTTGAAGTCATAGTTAACCCTCACGACTTCATCAATAACATAGAAGTCGTGTTATGCGTACATGACTTCAGTTCCCCAAGTCAAAAGTCGTGTCATTTGTTGACAAGTTCTTCACAATGAAGTTGTACCAGCTTGACACGATTTGTCTCTGTAATTTTTTAAGAAAATGACCCATATCCACAATTTAAAGAACAAATTGCCCCATATCCATATAAAAAACGTATCAATTTAGGCAATGTTTTGATAAATTTCTCAAAAAGAAAAATAATGAGAAAAAGTTATCAATTCAACCACCCTACTGCGGTATCTTTCTAGCAATACACATCTATCATACTCTAGTATTGACTTTTCTTTTCATCCATGTTTTATGAAGCGCGCTTTGTAGTTCTTTATTTTCCTTTAAGAGCGCTAATTTTTCATACAAGCTTAAACCTTTGTAAGCTTTAGCTTGAGAGTGAGAATATTCACCACAGATTAAGATAATTCTTTATTTAGTTTTTACAAAGCATATATAGATAGCAAAGTTAACAGAGGAATCAAAAGACAACTTACCCGCATCTTCAACCAATTTAGTAACCCATGTTTCTTTGTCTTTTTCTCCTCCTTATAAGAATCATCAGCTGTTTCCACATTCCCCTCTAAATTAACATGCAGATCAGTGTTCTCGTCGTCTGAGATTAAATCCCTTCTTTTGTATGGAAGGTATGCCAACTATAGACAAAATTGATAATTAGAAAAATGTATATACGAGTAAATAAGTAAGCAGTGTATCGTCATCTTATGTTAATTGTAAAACAACAATTTAAATTCTTGGTATAAAGAGAAGAAAAAATTGAGAAAGCTAATCTAAAAAGAGAAATACCTCTTCTTCCCCAAAAGAATGTCTTCTACGAGGACCAGGACGGTTAGAAAATCTAGTTGAGTGTGATGGTTTAGTGGAGACCAAAATTAACTTAGTCAAGCGTTGAATTCTTCCTAATAAAGCAGCTTTAGCATCCTCTTCTTCCTCCAATCTTGATTGCAACTTGACATGACCATCTTCTAGCTTTATATATCACACAAGAATAGGTAACTATTTAAAGTCAGAATATTGAATTTTGTAGAATAACAATGAACTCAATGTGAAGGAAGTTCAGTTCAAAATAATTTCCATAATTAATTACAGCATTTCCAATTCCACCTATAATTATAATATCATTTAGAGCGAAAACAATTTAAAAACTAATTACTTATATTGCCTGTATGATCAATATCTAGAAAACAATTATAGAAAAATCAAATTCTGAAAGCCATCTTTAAGCCAAGAAAAGATACATAAAAAAACAGTCTAATAATATAACATCTTCTACCTTTTGTTTTAGGAGCACAAAGTCAACTTCACCAGTTTCTTTCGGCTGAATAGAGACAACACCCCGCTTCATTTGCTCCAATTCTTCCTTTAAGCGCTGAATTTCATGCTGGTATTTCTTGATAAGTGACTTTTCATCAATTATCTGTAGACTCAATTTAACATGTAAATTAGTTGGGGGAGCAGAGATGCTACGACATTACAGGATGTGATTCCCAGATAGAAGGATTTCATTAAAAGAAAAACATCAAATAAAAGAGACTTCTAATCTTTTTAAATGTTTACAGGGTATAATTCCTCAAGAAATGCAGGAGGCAGGTCAACAAAGTGAAAAGTCAAGAAAATGTTGTTTCAAAACTACATGAAATGGCTTTCGACTGAATTTAATGCGTCTCATTCCAACTAGATACTGCTTCCAACAACATAGAAAATATTCTAAAATACCATCCCACATAAATTCTTCATGTTCAAATTACTTGCAACCAGTTTCAATTAAGCACTCTGGCATGCAGCTAGACAGGTCTAGAATGGATAAGGTTCTCTGGACATGTGCCCACCTCACTGTAGGTAATAATACAGGTAATATTCAAGTAATCCACTACTAGGGGATACCCTAGGTAAATTTTAATATTCTACTTGACAGAAACTTAATGAAATTATTTTCCTATTCTCAAGAATAACTTCATCTTAAGGTTGGCTTTGAATCAAAGATTAACCACCACGAGGAGAGATCACACAACAGGTTTGCAAGTGGAGTGTTGCATGTGTGAGTGTTTTACTTAGTAGGCTGATTGAATACAGTGTATATTGTACTTTGCATTGTACAAAGGGAGCATGCTAATATACCCTGATTAGGAGCAGCATTTGTATTTTGTACTGTGAAGTTGTATAGAAATAAAATTCTAACAAAAAAAACCTTCAATATACCGTATTTTGAGCTGCTTGTATTTCAACGTGCTTTGCCCGGTGAGCAAACTTCAAAGTATTATGTGTCTCTTCAGCATTACTTGATGAAGGTGTTACCGTGCAAATGAGCTGTATTTTAAATGACCTCAAAATGTAAGAATAACCATGTTTCATGTTTTGTGCCACAAAGATCAACATAGTAATATTTATTTTAATAAAATAATCACATTTCTGGATATCTATACAAAAGTAAAGCCTTACAGATATACGTCCATGACCACTGAGAGAAGACTGAAGTAGTCTAGTTAATTTGGAGTCCCTGTAAGGTATATGACTAGCTCTGCCTTCAGTCAATTTTGAAATAACCTGCACAATGAATTAATCACACTTCACAAAGATACAAAGAATTGCACATTCAGGAAAACCTTGTATATATACAGGTTTTGGATGAAAAACATGTACTGAGTAAACATGTTGAAAGGATGAGTGAAAAACAAGCCATGAAGGATGATATTGCTCTAGTACCATGTTGAAAAGAGAGAAACTAAGAAGGAATGTAATGAACTTCGTGTCTTAGATACAGACATGAGTATTCTTATTTATAATGAAGAGGGGATACAGTAGGGAACAAAATCAATATCTAATGATGCAAAAATAGTTGGTAAGATATTTCCCTATCAAATCATGTCACATCTCCCTATTTAATGTAAACAAATCATATTTCTAACACATATCAATGCAAAGAAGAAGTCCAAATCCTAGAAGAATATAGAAAAAGGAAGGTGTATGAAGGTAATGAGACCGTTAAAAAGTGAACTTAAGTCTAACCCAATCCCACGAAACCTTTTGTAAGATAAGGTTTGCACCCACTTATATACTCTAAATTGGTCTTATCTTTAGTTGATGTGAGACTTCAAACACTTCCCTCCCGCTAAGGTATATACATCTCGAGCGTGGGACTAGACATTAATGGGCCGATAGCAGCCCAATAGTAGATGGAACAATATGCCTAACAAACAATAAACCTCATTAGGATAGGCTTTAACAATGGCTCTAATACCATGTTAAGAAGTGGATTTTCAACCTAACTCAATTCCATAAAACCGACTTGTAAGGTGAGGTTTGCACTCACTTATATACTCTAAACTAGTCTTATCTCTAGTCAGTGTGGGGCTTTCAACAGGGACCAATGGTAAAAGAAAGAAAGGAGGATGTATGATACATCAACTGATGAACTACACACACAAGGACCCAAGCAAAAAAGGTAAAGAAATATGGAAATAGAGTAAAAGTGAGAAAGATAGAAAGAGCAACATAAGGGACTAAGAATGCAAAAGTACTGGTTTGGGGGCACTCGCTTATTCATTCTCTCCTTTGTATCTCTATCCTACCCAGACAACCCAATTAATTCCATCATCCTTATTTATATCGCCTCCCCTTAAACCAAACAACCATTGTTGTTGCTTCAGATTTCCTCTCCATATTTGCAATCAATCCAATTGAATCTTGAATCTTGACGATATTGTTTGGGAAAACAGGATCAAATGATGCTCTCATCATGGTTGCAATCATCTTTGTCATCTAAGATTCTCATGAATTTTTTAGGTTGCATACACACCTAAGAACTTTGAGAAAAATTTCATAACCGTTTTCAGAAGTTAACTCCTCAGCAAGCACAACAACTGCAAACATGATGATGACCTAATAGCCTAAACTTGAGAGAGTTAGTTCAAGACATGGTCTCAAATCCTTAATGTCGAGGTGATCTAGACTTCAATACTCAACTTCTTTGTTCTTCTAATGAAAACTTGAATTTCAGCATAAGTTAGGTAAGCCTATGCATTATCAATATTTCAAGTCCAACAAGCTCGTTTAAGGGGTATGTTAGAGATGTAATAAAAATCCATTCATGTATTTTCACCCAATTGCTTAAACTTGTGGGTTAGTTGATTCTAGACACGTTATCTTTTAAATTGTCAAGTTTTGGTGGATTCAATATTTAAACAGATGGCTGATTTAACTTAAATTCTGGTATTTTTCTATCTCATTCCGGTACATTCTATGCTAGTTCATGATTGACAATAACAAATGAGTAACTAGACAACAACAAAAAATAAAAAGAAATCCAACAGACACGGAACATTGTGCAAAATTTAGTGAAAAAACACAGATATCTCAAATAAAACAGAGAATCTGATAGAACCAGCTAACAGATTTTGAGATCTCACAGTTCCGAGAGTTAGAAGACTTTTATTGATGTAAGATCCTTCTCTCCTTCTCATGCCAGTTGTTTCAGCCCTTGAGCTCTCAGAACCTGCCAGATCGATGAGGTTCTGCATATATAAGTAAAATATATTTTTCAAAAGAAAAGTAAGTTACAATAGCAAATTGTAAGGCATGAATAATAAAAAAGTTAAATATTGCAATATAACATCTGTGCATGAGAAGGAATGGGAAATATTTTCTAAAACACAATTCAATAATTACCAATTGAGACAGTGCTACTGCTTCTCCTTCACTATTTTCACCACATGGACTACTCTCTACAGTCTGTCACAAGACAGCCAAAAGTTGAAACAGTAAAATCATCTCTTAATAAAAGCAACTCTTAACATATGAAGGAAAAGAAAATGTCAAGAATAAGGAGCATTATAAAAAAGCTTTGGAATTTGGATGAGTCATCAAGAGTTGCTCCAATGTAACTCGATCAAGTAATGTGTGCAGGAACGGAATACTAATTACAGGGCTGCATTACATGCTTACATGAAAGTATGTGTCAAGATGTAAACACACAGAACAAGTATCAATGTCAATAAGCTAGGACACAATAAAAGAAATTTGATGCCAATTAAATAAATAAATATATATATATATATATATATATATATATATATATATATATATATATATATATAATATCAACCCTATAATGTATCGCAAACCCACCAGGGAAAATATTGTATGGCTCCTGCTGCTGAGTAGGTTGAAGTTTGTGGACCCAACATGTCTGTGCTCTGTTATCAAATTAAATAACATAACTTAGCAGTGGCACACCACCAAGTAGTGTTATAGAGGAATCCAATTCACAAGATCATTAACAGGACAGGTTAAACAGGTTTGATTAGGATTTACAAACCACCCACCCATAAGCCTTGTATGTGTTGTATAATGTGTTAAGTGATAATATCATATTAAAAATTGTCCATCAATATGCTTAGTATTTTAAATGCATAACAAATTTTACAAAAGAAAACTTTCAAACAAAGTGATAGGAACAGAATTTACAGTTAGATGTTAAGATGTGTGTTTCTGTTAATTGGACTCAGCCCATTCTGTATTAAGGGCATTGGCCTATATCTTATATTATAAATAAACTACCTTATGTGTATGCAAAAGACACAAGGGATATTTTCTCCCAATCTTCTCTATTTGTCACATGGTATCTAGAGCATAGGATTAGTTCCAGCCAACTCCACGGTCTCCGGCACACATCATCGCCGCTGTCGCCGTCGTCGCTGTCGCCGCTGCCATTGTCGCCACCGCAACCGCCATAGCCGCCACCGTCGTCGGAGTTCCAGAATCGACCGACGACCACACCATCGGAATCGTCTCAGCGGGCGACCACCGTGGTACAAAAATCGCGGTGAACGGACCATCCACGCACCGCGGCAACAGTCGCCGGGGCCGCCGCTTCCCGCCGCGCGTGCCGGCGCGTCGCTGGAGAGTTCCGTCGCCGATCAGAACCGCCGTGATCGCCTCCTCGTCCTCTTTCTGGATCTGTGGTCGTTGCGTCAATCGGAGCACTTTGGATTTTTAGGGTTTCTCCTTCTCCATGGCATCTTCCTCGTCTACAAACACCTCTGTTGGTGGCTCATCTTCTGATCCCTCAATATACACCAATTATGTGAATGTACACTTGTCCATTGACAAGTTAGATGGCACAAATCATGCAACATGGGCGTCCGACATCAAACTTTGGTTGAAGAATCAAGGGTACTTAGATCACCTTACTCAAAATGTGACTACTGCTACCACAGATGACACTTCCCGCTGGATGAAAATTGATGCTCAGTTATGCATTGTTATAAAGTCCACCATTCACTCCTCATTGAAACAAATGTTTCGATC